GGTAGGCACCAGGGCGCCCCCCGCTGTCCCGACCGCGGCCTGGAGCCAGGCCGCCGCCGACAAGCGAGCGCGTGACCGCGGCCCGCGGATCAGCTCGCGCCGCGAAGGCCGTCCTGGAAACGGCGTCGGGCCTGAGCTTCCCGAGCCCCGCAGTCGCCCATGCCAGGCGCGAACTGGATGGTCCTCGGCTTCCCACCCACCCCTCCTGCCAGAGCCTTACCGCCCAGGGCGCGGGCACAAACATGATTCCTCCTCCTCCTCCTCCTCCTCACGCCACGGCCAGGGACAGATCTGGTCATGCAGTCCACACCTCCCAGGCAAGAGCTCAAGGTGTAGCAGATACTCCCGGGCGGTGCCCCGAGCGCCATTTACATGTTACCGCTGCCCTTCAGAATGGAGGAGGTGGGGGAGGAGGAGGAGGCGGGAGGCGGAGTGATGAGGCGGAGGAGGAGGAGGAGGAAAGGGTTGAGGGAGGAAAGGGCGGAGGAGGAGGAGGGGCAGAAGGAGGAGGGAAAGGGCAAGGGGAGGAAGGAGGAGCGACCCTTCTCCGCCCTGCGTCAGGCCTCGTTTTCCTCCCTTTGCGAATGCCCTCCTTCCCAAAAACCCTCCCCCGCGAGCTGCCTCAGCCCGCCCCTCCAACAGCACATCTCATCTCTCACCTCCCTCCGTCCCTCCCCAAGCGGACGCGCTTCGCCAACATTCTGCCGCCGTAGGCTTGGGCGACTGCGGTGCTCGAGAAGTTCGTGGCGCCGGTTGAGTTGCGGGCCGCGGTCACGGGGCCCGCCGCGGCGGTCAGGCTGACGCTGAGGCGCTCGGGCTGGAGGCAGAGTATTGGCTGGTTTGGCGTGACGATTGCAGTGCGGTGCTGGACCTTCAGGTGCTCAGCCCGAGGATGCTCGTCGGCTTGGTTGGAGAGGGAGTCTACATGCGTCTGATGCGCGAGGCCTCCTTCCACCCTGGCTTCGAGGCGCTGCGGGGTCGCCCACCTGACCTGGGCCCGATCAGGGTCGCGCTGGCGGGCCTTCGAGCGCAGGGGCACTGAGATGGTGCAGCTCCTGGAGGCCCTCATCGCTGGAGGGTTGGTGTCCCAGTGCGATCTGTACGTGGAGCGCTCCGAGGCTGACCCCAGCTGTCAGTGGTGCAAGCTGGCCTTGGGGACGACGCATCACAGGCTGTTCAAGTGCCCGACGTCCAGGACCTGGGCGGGGGAGCTCGGGCTGAACGAGGTTGCTCTGGTCTGGCGCGCGGCTGCGCCCGACGACCTGGGCATGCTGAGGGGCTTCCATCCGCCGAGGTCCGATTCGATCGGTTAGTCTCAGGTTCGATCGGGCTCCACCGCCGAGTTCAACCGGCACGGTCACGCGATCTAGTCTCGCCCGCAGGGAGTTCTTCCGAGGGGTGGTCTGCATCAATGGCTCGTCGACCATTCCTGAGTGCCGGAAGTTGTCCCGCACGGGCTGGTCGTCCATCATGGTTTCCCGTCGAGGCGAGATCCTGGAGGGCATGTATGGCGATGTCCCAGTTGCTGAAGACTCTGTAAGGGGAGAGTCATAAGGCCCTGGAGGTGCTTGCGGACTTCAAGGCGGTGTGCGACGACTACCATCGGGGACGTGAGTTTTGTTGCGGGCCGCGTCATAATTATGCTGACCTTTGGATGCGCGTCTTCTGGCACATAGACCAGTTGGGCGCTGACAGCTTCACGTTGCGTTGGATCAAGGCCCACGCCAGCTGGCCAGAAGCGGTCCGCCGCGGGATGGCGTGGTTCGGGTACTGGGGCAACCGCGAGGCCGACCGCTGCGCGAAGCTCGGTGCGAGACTCCACCCGCAGCCGAGCATGGAGGTGCTGGAGCGGAGGTTGGAGACATCTAAGGCTGCCGTCGCCATCGCGGCGACGTGTTAAACAAGACGCGCTCGTCTAGGCTGGCCTGACCGAGGTCCTCTGGCCCGCCCGCTCCCGCCGCCCAGAGATAGTTTGATTTTGGAAGTTCGCCGAGGGGTTACTCGATAGTCCGTCTTGGGAGGTGTTGGGGGTGCGAGACATGCGGAGTCAGGAGGGCACTCAGGTCCCTCCTGGTCTCTCACCCGTGCCTTTGGGTCCCTAGAGTAGCGGCCTCGTACCACCCCTCCTACAGGCTGTGGGCGTTTCGGGGTGGTGAGGCTGTTGGTGCGTCGGCATGGGAGCGGTGGGATGGAGGTAATTGTCTTCTGCCGCGTGTGCGACGCGTACGGTCGTCGCCAGGCTTTGCTCTTGTCCCAGCCGTGCATTGCCTTGTCTAGGAAGGCGCGGACTGCGGCTCGATTAGCTCGTATGGTGCTGGACAAGCTTAGAGCAGACAAGGAGACCCAATATAGCAAGTTTTTTGGGCTACCTTTTCCCTTTCGCCCGCTTGGGGCCTTTCTTTGAACTTTCCTTTCCGTGGGGCGTCGTCTGGTGCGAGCTGCACGTCGTGCCGAATTTTCTTATGCAGCCCCTGCGGCGCTCTGGGGTCCCGCCCGTGAGGGCCCGCGCGGACCCGCAGGGCGTGCATAAGGTAATCTTCGCTACTCGCCTGAAGTTCCCCTCGGGGCTCGCACGCCGCGCCATCAGCATTCACCGATCCACTTTTTGTTTGAACCTGGTCTCGTGGCCTGCCGAGGTTTTGTTTGCCCGGGTCCCTCGTGCCTGGCCTGGCCTGCAACGGGTAGTTTTCTGTTGAGCAGGTAGGCGAGTTTTTGCTCTGTGGAGTTCGTTCTGTAGGATTTATAGGACATACAGGAAGAGACTGTGTCCATTGCGGGACGTGCCCACTTGAAGGACAATTGCCTGATAACCTCGAACCGTGCCAAAACACCATTCCTGAGACTTCAGCGCCCTGAGTCAACGTGACTGATGCGTCTGGACAGAACACTACTTCTGGGGCATGCGAATGATTGAAACTGTTGCAGACGTTACAAAATAATGTGCGCGGCGTTGGGTCGAAAACAGAAGTAAGAAACCGCTCTCCAGCCTTGAAGCTGCTGCAAGCTTTTCAGACGAATGTGCGCGGCGCTGACGCGAAAACCACATGTTGAAAAGGGCCCGCCCTCCATCCGTGAAGTTGACGCATTTCTCAAGCTTCAGGATCATAAGTGGCGATGAAATCTCAGGCGAAGCGCCTGACCCGCCCTACCGACAGGTCGGGGGGTGCGACAGGGGGAAGTTATTGATGAAGAAAGGGATGAAGGCGGACAAGGAGGAGGACAGGACAGGAGGAGGAGGAGAAGGACGGAGGAGGAGGAGGAGGAGGAGGAGGAGGAGGAGGAGGAGGAGGAGGAGGAGGAGGAGGAGGAGGAGGAGGAGGAGGAGGAGGAGGAGGAGCAGGAGGAGCAGGAGGAGCACGAGGAAAAGGGGGATGGGGAGGAGGAGGAAGCGGAGGAGGAGGATGAGTTGGATCAGGAGGATGAGGGGGAAGAGGAGGAGGAGGACAAATAATAAACATACCTATACGTCGATTAGTAATAATGAGACTAAAAAGAATGATAGTACGAATAATGTGACGAAGGCTAGTTCGAAACATGCGAATAAGGATAGTATTTCGAATAACAAGAATAGTACGACGAACAATAACATCGCTGGTCATGTTCATAATCATGCGCTACTTATACGTAAGAACATAAGAACGCTACGATTAATACAAGTAATAAGATTACCAACAATAGTAATACCAATGAGAATACCAGTAAATATTCTGATATTGACAATAAGACGAGTTGTACGACTAAGGCATATAACTACGAAAACTACGAATGAACGTACTAGTAATAAGAGTATTCAGCATAGGAATAATATTATGGCGATTCCGATTATTAGTAAGCAGCCGCACTAAAACAATACTACCAATGACCATACGACGAACACGAATAGTAATGCGATTCGTAAGACGAGTAAAACCAATCTATTCTTAACAACACTAACCGTATTAACAATACTAAGCAACACACGACTGATACGACTACCCATAGCACGACGAATAAGACTATGAAGACGCAGACGACGAACAACAACACTAATACGGCTAATCGTAATATTGGTAATGGCACTAGTTCTATCACTAATCGTAGTACTAATACTAAAACCAACACAACAAGGATAATGCTACTCAGGCGAATAAGAAGACCCCCATCAACACTAAAAACCAACACTCTCAATACTGATGCTGATGCGAACCATACTCATAGTACCATCAACAACCAGAATAGTAACACTAATAGTATTAGTAGTTTAATCCTTGTTATACATACTACTACGATGACTAGTCTTAACAGTAATATTATTAATAATAATGAGAATAATACTAATACTGCTAATATTACCAAATCTAATCACACGAATACTATACACAATAATAATAATAGTAATACTAATGATATTAATACTACTGATAAGAATACGACTACTACTACTACTACTACTATTGATAATGATACTAATAATAGTAATATTAGAAATCATATCAATAATTCATGATGTTACTATTAATATTAATAGTAGTGGTAGTAGTAGTAATAATACTATTTTTATTATTATTAATAATGATAGTGATAATAATAATAATAACAATACTAATAATAGTAATAGTAATAATAATATTAATAATAATACTAATAATAATAATAACAATAATAATAATAACAATAATAATAATCATAATAATAATACTAATAATAATACTAATAATAGTAATAATATTAATAATAATAATAATATAATAATAATAAGGAACAGGAGGGCGATGAGGAAGAGGAGGAGGAGGATGAGGAGGAGAAACAGGAGGATGAGGAGCAGGGGGAGGAGGAACAGTAGGAGAGATCGGAGGAGGAGGAGGAGGAGGAAAAGGAGGAGGAGGAGGAGGAACAGGAGGAGGATGAGGAGGAGGAGGAGGAGGAGGAGGAGGAGGATTTTTCTGGAGTGATAGGAGGAGGACGAGGGGGAGATGGAGCGGCTAAACCCCTCCTGCCCCTGAACCGCCCCACGCGCTCAGGAGCTCACAGAACGGAGCCTGGCGCTTGTGGTGCAGCAGATGTTCGCCGCCGTGTCGGAGGTGCGGGTAAGCCTGCTAAGGGCGGAAGGTCGGGGCGGATTTGATGTGGACTCGGGCCAGGAATGCGCTCCAGAGCAGCAAGAAAGAGAGCAGCAAGACAGAGAGCGCCCCAAACGGTGGGTCTACCCAGAGCAGCAGAGAGCAGGAGAGAGAGAGAGAGAGAGAGAGAAAGGGAAAGAGGATGTGACCGCGACGAGGAGGAGATCTCGACAGGCCCGGAATGCGAGCCGAACAGGCTGGGTCTGGGGCGGGCGACCGGGGTGGTTCTGAATGCTGCTGCGAGCAGTAAGTTTCGGCTCCGCCGCCAGGCAGCTTCCTCGGTACATGGTCAATGTGGGCGCCTCCAGGCGCTCAAAAACCAGCCACACGCAGCTGATTTGCCACCCCCCCATCTACTCCCCCCCTCTATCGTTCACCCTGAAGTTAAGGAGAGGAACGCATGGAAGAGGCACTCGTGCGTCATTGCCCCTGGCGCAACTGCTGGTCGAAGTAGTTCAGGGGAATGAACCCTCGACACAAGATCTGAGGCAGAAGAAGGATGGGAGAACGGAGGCGCAGGTGAGGGGATGGATGGGGACGGAGGGGAGGGGAGGAGGAGGGAGGATGGGGATGGGAGGAGGAGGGATTTGAGGCGAGGAGGATGAAGGCGGGACGAGGAGGGAGGAGGGGAGAGGAGGGAGTAGGGGAGGACGGGAGGATGAAGAGGAGGAGGATGAGGATGAGGAGGAGGAGGAGGCGGATGAGGAGGAAGAGGAGGAAGGAGGGGAAAAGAGGATGTCCTTGGACTTCACCGCGAATCAACGTGGTTGTTCCGTGCTGACAGTCCTTACTCGTGCCAGAACACCAACCTTGGGACTTTGACCATACGAATCCTTGAACATGTTTGCGACGTTCCAGGCGAATGTGCGCCGCGGTAGCACGAAAGCCATATAAAGCAAATGACCACCTTTCATCCCTGACGCTTTTGTAAACTTTTAGGATGAATATTATCGGCGCTTAGACGAGACCAACTGCAGAGGGTCTCCTGGACGTCCCCGAATCAGCGGGCCTAAAGCGATCGGGAGGGCGCTCAAACGCCCCACCGAGAGCCCCAAGCTGCCTCACACCCACCAGACGCCCGAAGACGGCCCAAACGACGCCCCTAAGAGGCCAATCTCAACGCAACAAAAACAACGATGTTCCGCTGGGTCGTTAATTTTCAGATGATCGGTTCTTCGGTCTTCCAGGCGTCCGCGACCGCCCGAGAGGCCTCCAGGATCTCCCCCGAAAAGCGTCAAGACGGCCCGAGAGAGCCCCAATACAGCCCGACAGGCCCCAAGGTGGCTCCAAGACAACCTAGAACGGCCCAAGATGACCCCAGGACGCCCCCCGAACCAGTCGTGACGGGCCGCGGTCGTTGAGGGAAGCCGCGACGAGCAGCATGATGGTCCCAAGAAGCCCCCAGAGGCCCCCAAAAGATGTCCAGGATGCCTGCAGGGGCCCCCAAGAAGCCCCAAGAAGCCTTTGAGGGGCGCCCAAGAACTTCTTCAAAGAGGGGCCTCATCAACAAAGATGGAGACGGGTTTGCAAAACATGAGGATGGGGAATGGTTCGCAGCCGAGGAAGAAAAGGGAAGAGGAAGAAATGGAGACGGAGGATAAGAAAGAGAACGACAGCGCGAAAACGGTGACAAGGACATTACATCGCTCAGTCTGTCTCTCTCTCTCTCTCTCTCGCTCTCTATCGACACATATGTAGACAGTTATATATACACATGTGTGCTTGTGTGCCAGCTATTTCTGTCCGTCGATCTGCCTTACCAAAAGGCTTGGCCACCAAGCGAATAACCAACTTGTATTCTCTGTCAGTCCACTATCCGTCCATCCATTTTGTTACCCATTCCAGGTGCATAGCGTTGGTATCTTACACCGAGATGTAAAACCAGACAACTTCTTGGTGACCGGCCTGAACGGCACTGTGAAGCTTTGCGACTTTGGATTTGCGCGGAAGTTTCCTTCAGGCTTTGGGCTTAGTGAGCTTGAGATTATTGATGCTTCGCGTATCCGCGCCCCTCCTGGTCCGTACCAAGCGCTAAGGCCATGCGTGCGTCAGAGGAGTGCTCAGGACGGCGCAATGTTTGTCGCCAGAGACGACTCTGGGCCTCTTCCTCTTTATCATTATTTTCTTGGGTCTTATTCCTCCTCCCTCGTCGTCGTCGTTGTCGTCCTCGTCGTCGTCGTCGTCGTCGTGGTCGTCGTCGTCGTCCTGGTCCTCGACGGTACACACTGAGGACCCGCATGCGTCAGGGGCATATTCGGGACCGCGCCGTTCATGTCGCCAGAGATGGTCATGGGCCTCGAGTACGCCGCCCCCACGGACGTCTGGTCTCTCGGTGTCATCCTCTACGCCCTGCTCTGCGGCGAGTTCCCCTACATGCCGGAGCGCACACCGAAGAAGCCCCAGCTGGGGGATAGCTTTCAAAGAAGGGGCCCTCGCGGGGGGAACGTCTCACATGGCTCAGCGTGCCTTTCCGACATCGATGGTGCACGCTATTTTTCCAACGCTAGCCTTAAGTCGGGCGTGTCCCCCTACAGGGGGATTCTCGACGAACAATTAGAAATATGCAAGAAGTAATACAGAACGGTCAAAGAATACTCAAAACATAGTCCCCTGACTTTTTTTTGATTATTTTTTGTCCATTTGGGAGTATTTTTTTGGTATTATTAGTTTTTCGTCGAAAATCCCCCTGTAGGGGGACACGCCCGACTTAAGGCTAGCCTTAGCCAGCTCGAGCGAGTCGGCGGGCCCCGCTGGCCGCTCCCCGTTCTCCCACGGCATGTGAATCTCTTGGACACTGGAACTGTCGCGCGCTCCCGCGACCAGCCTGTCACATATCCCTATGTCTCAGGAGCGAAAGAAGGACGTACATGTACATGAATCCACGCTGGTTTCGAGAGTACGCATTGCGCAAATGTTCGTAGAACGCGGCCGGTCTCGCGGATCGGGGGGCCGTGTTCATGTACATAGCTGGGCGCGTACGTCCTTTGTGGGCTCGCTAATGTCGACTAGACGTAAGCGTGACCTTTCGCCGGAGTGACCTTTGGTGCGAGCACAGATGGGTCCTCACATGGCTGAAAACGAAGCGGCAGCAGCGGCCTGCGCGCCCAGGTTTGGTCCCCGCGCGGGCCCCGAAAGGCCGCGCACCAAAGGTCACTCTTACCCAAGGTCACCCTTGCGTGTAGCCGACCATGCCTATGATTGGCATCACCTTCTCGCGGTGCCGATCGGAAGGATCGCCTTAGTTTCTGGGGGCGCATCCCTCAGATTGTCATCGCCTTTTGGCTTGCCAATCTTAGGACTAGGGGCAACTTCGAGGCGGGCCACCCGGCAAGCGGAAGGTGCACGCGAGCGCGCGGCTTCGCACCCCTCGGCTTTGGCGCACGAACCCTTGTGCCGAACCCAGCCATCCGAGGCCATGTCAGGGGGGATAGGCTCAGGGTCGGAGGGCACCAACTATACACCAACACCGATCCTGGCCCAGGATCACCCTGGGCCCAGGATCGGTGTATATGCCTTCTTGCGCAAGGCAGGAGGGCGTATACACCGATCCTGGGCCCAGGGTGATCCTGGCCAGGATCGGTGTTGGTGTATAGTTGGTGCCTTCCTATCAGGGGGAGGGCTCAGGGGCAACGTTCGGGGGGGATCGGTTTTCGGACGTTCTCGTCGGTTCTCGGTGGCTTTCCAGCCTCGGGATGCTCTCCAGCAGCTGCGCCTCGCCGCCAGCTGGGGTGTCCCGAACGGTCGCCGGTGAGCCGATTTATGACCCGGAAGCCAGGGGACAATGTCAGTGTGGATGGGCTCAGGGGGGGATGCATTGACCCCCACCCACTCATCGTCGATAGGTGCCCGATGTCCCGCCCCGCCCAGGAGCGAGCGGACTATCGGGGGCCTATCGCTGATCTATCGGCAATGTATCGCCGGTTTCAGATCGATGTTTCCCCCCCCTGAGCTGGTCCCCCAGGATCGTTGAGAATCGGGGCCCTGGGGCGAGTAACAGGAGTAGGGTGCGGAGGAGGGGCAATGCGATGATGTGGACCCTCGCCTTCTCGTGGCGAGCAGGGGGGGGAGTAGGGTGATGTACGGTAGGTCTGTGTCGTGCCGACCGTCGGCGACCCCGCCGCCAGCGTTCAACGTTGAACGCCGCTGGCGACCCAGAATCATTCGATGTTGAACGATCGGACGTTTTGGAAACGGCCGATCGTTCAAGGTTGAACGATCCCCGCGGTATCAGGGACCAACGCCGGGGTCGACACGACACGAACCTACCGTAGGGGGAGGAGGAGTTGGATCAGAAATCCTGACATGGGCATACACTTCTCGGAGCTCCGCGCGGATTTACGCTGGCCCCTCCCTCGCGGCGCCTCCATCTCGGAGCCAAGAAATCCGCGCGGGCCTCCAAGAAATCGTGTTCATGCAGTTTTTGTGTTCATCTGTAGTGCTTTGCATCTTCGGGATACCTTTCCTGTCCTGTAACTTGCAGTCTTCTCTTGTGCTCCGACGTGTCCGACGCGGATTCGACGTGAATTCGACGCTTATTCGACATGGATTCGACATGCATTCGACACGGATTCGACACGGTCTCGATGCGGATCGCGGCGCGACGGGACAGACAAGATGTCCCAAAGATGCAACACAATATTTCGATTGCAAGTCATGGGAGCCTGTATAACCTCGTAATTCCGTCTTTATAGTGCGGTCGCCTCGATTAGATAGCGAATCGTTAGATGGATTCGCGTTTGGTAATCGATGCGACAGCGCGGATTCAGCGCCGATTAGTGTCGACCAGCGTCGATTTAGCGTTAGTGTCGATTAGCGTCGACTCGCAATGCTCCCATGAGTTGCCAGAGAACAATATCCAGTTGCCTGCGGCAAGTCCCGCCACGGTGTGAGCCCAGCATTCT